TTATCGTGTACCGGTCCGAAAATAGTCGCAGTAGGACGTAAATAAAATCGAACAGATGCAAAACAGATAGCTAACGTCAAAGTCAAGATGTTGAAAGCACGAATTTCATTTAGGAACTAACCTCTTTTCAATGACGGGACGTATTTGTGCATTAAGACATTTTAGACATCTTAGGCTAATCAATCTAACGTTACCTTTTTACATTCAAATGGATCTGCGGACACCCGTGAAAGAATTATCAGAATAAAATGCAAAACAAATAATAAAAATAGTACGATTTTGCTTACCTTCCATAATTGAGTCAAACAAGTGTCGATACCTATCAAAATAGTATTCAATATAGTATTAAACATAGTCTATACATCAAACGATATTTTATAAAACATAAATCATGCAAAGGTTATACCAGAACAAATTTGTACTTACACTGACTGATACTCCTGTATGTATGATCCTTGAAGTTATTGATGATCATCATCGCTGCCTCGATCCGTCGTTGGTGTCGATTTTGGACCAATCAAATTAGGTCAACGTACTTTGACCAATCAAATAGCTAGCTTTCAGGGTACTCGAGGTTAAAAAATGTAAAGGTAAATTTTGGGGGAAGGGTGACGGCACCTGACGGCTGGTAGGCGTGTGTTTAAAGCAAGTTTGAAAATCTCACTCTACGCCCCCCCCCCCTCCCCCCAATCCCTCACCCCAACAACTGCCCTCCTCATTTACTGTGACAAATGCATCTCATCAGCTTGAACTTCAAACAATTTTGGTATTGAGCTCGCACATTGTAGTCTGTGCAAATCAACAGTTTGTCTAAATGGACTTTTCTTTGTAACTGTCACGTAAATTTACTCATTGATCGTGCACACAGCCTTCACGTTAGCCCGGTTCCTGTGTCCATTCGGGCTAAGTGTAGTTTGAAAGATCCAAGGTAGTGCACGCCAAAAAGCGCGTTTCATATGCAGTCTAAAACAGCGTATAAAAATATTTTTAGCGTAGGCTATGGCATGAGAAATTAAATTCGTGGTATAGATACGCACTTTCATAGTGCAATTAGTGCAAGTTTACCTTAAGATAGCATGCAGTGAGGTTGGCACTTGGCTTGACATAATAATAATAATAATAATAATAATAATAATAATTTTTAGGCCCTATTATTATAATATAGCTAATAATAATAATTATAATTATAATAATTATTAGGCTGCAGGCCTACTACTATGTTGTGTAGGCTAGGGAACATTAATAATAACTAGACCATAGCATTTATTTAACCATGAGTGAGAGGCGCGTGACGGGTAGCCTATAATATAGCCGTGACGGGTCGAGAGACAGGCGTGTATGGCCGTGGCAGGTCGCGGGACAGGCGCGTACAGCCGTGACGGGTCACGGGACAGCAGCCGTGACGGGTCGCGGGACAGGCGCGTATAGCCGTGACGGATCACGGGACAGCCGCGTACAGCCGTGACGGGTCGCGGACAGGCGTGTATAGCCGTGGCAGGTCGCGGGACAGGCGCGTATAGCCGTGACGGGTCGCGGGACAGGCGTGTATAGCCGTGGCAGGTCGCGGGACAGGCGCGTATAGCCGTGACGGGTCGCGGGACAGGCGTGTATAGCCGTGGCAGGTCGCGGACAGGCGCGTATAGCCGTGACGGATCGCGGGACAGGCGCGTATAGCCGTGACGGGTCGAGAGACAGGCGTGTATAGCCGTGGCAGGTCGCGGGACAGGCGCGTACAGCCGTGACGGGTCGCGGGACAGCAGCCGTGACGGATCACGGGACAGCCGCGTACAGCCGTGACGGATCGCGGGACAGCCGCGTACAGCCGTGACGGATCGCGGGACAGCCACGTACAGCCGTGACGGATCGCGGGACAGCCGCGTACAGCCGTGACGGGTCGAGAGACAGGCGCGTATAGCCGTGACAGGTCGCGGGACAGGCGCGAATAGCGGTGGCAGGTCGGGTGACAGGCACATATAGCGGTGGCAGGTCGAGTGACAGGCACATATAGCGGTGGCAGGTCGAGTGACAGGCGCATAATAGCGGTGGCAGGTCGAGTGACAGGCGCATATAGCGGTGGCAGGTCGAGTGACAGGCGCATAATAGCGGTGGCAGGTCGAGTGACAGGCGCATCTGGCGGTGGCAGGTCAGGTGACAGCTGCCACTAGCGGTGACGGGTGGAGTGACAGGTCTCTGTGGCAGCTGTCCCTGCCACGGAAAGATTTTACTCCCTCTCCGTTTGTTCTGGCATGATCAAGTTGATTCAGCGACTGGTTACACCCAAATATACAATGTCACAATGTGAAGTCATTAAATATTTGAGTATATCATTAGTTTATCAGAACACTTGCTTTGTCTGTATTATGTCCTGGATAAGGAGCTGTATCTGATCAGTACCATCAATAAAAAGCCAGTAATCTAAAAAAAAATGTTCACAAAGAGGTCTTAAAAAAAAAAAAAAAAGCAAGAAAAGGTCAACCATTAAGTCGTCCAAGTGAAACTCTACTTCATCAGTGTTCCAGTCAGTATGTTAGTGTAAAAAAAGAAAAGAAAGTTGTGAATTGAGAAGAATTGTGGTCCACGTTCAGGATGAAGAGTTGCTGATGGAGAGATATTGATGTTCTAAGATCTTCAGGTGTCCTAAGTGCGTTTCTCCACTTTGGTTTGAGAAAAAAAAAAAAAAAAAAAAAAAAAAAAAGACAAAATGGAGAATGTCCTGTAAACAGGTAAAGTAGAATGTTTTGCTGAGCTCTGTGACGCTTTGGTTTAATCTAGAAGTTTGACTGTATGTGTAAGGCATTTAATTAGTATAATTTAATTATTAATGAATGCATGTGGGGTTTTGTAATATTATTTTTTGCATATAACCCTGATATTTAAATAATCAATCTCATGTTGTATGTATGCAGGTGTGTGCTCACTATAATAAAGGCACTGGGCTTTTCGGGGCCTGTACCTTTATGGAGCGCTGCACTAAGGTGCATATTTGTCAGCACTTTGTGCAAGACGACTGCCTGTTCGGCCCCAAGTGCAAACGGCAGCACAGCATCGATGAGCACAGCCGCAGGATGCTGGAGGTACGGGGTCTCGGTGGTGACATCATCCATGACCTGCCCTACATCTACCAGAACGTTTATCGCCTGAACTCACAAACTCTAAGCAGTGGTAAGGGCACTTATATTCTTTCACACATATTATACACTATCCTAACAAGGCCACGTATTAAGGTCTGGATAGATTAGATGGTAAGGAAACATTCAGAAAGAGTGGCCTGGATAATGCACCCTATATAATAAAGGGTTTGAGGGACATGATGAAGAGTTCAAGATGTTGGCCTGGCCTCCAAATTCCCTAGATCTCAATCTGATTGAGCATCTGTGGGATCAACAAGTTAGATCCACGGCAGCTCCACCTCACAACTTACAAGACTTGAAGGATCTACTGCTAATTTCTTGGTGACAGATATACCACAGGACACCTTCATGGGTCCATGTCTCAGAGGGAGGTTTTGGCAGCATGTGAAGGACCAACAGCATATAAGGCATCATAATGTTTTGGATCATCTGTGTATATTCATTATATACATACATATTAAAATACATTTCAGAACTGATATCTGAGAAGAATGATGGAGATAAGATGGAGAAGAATGAAATCTGTCTGCACTTCTTAAGACGGAAATGCAAGTTTCAGGGTTGGTGTCAATGTTGTCTTGTCTTTAACCTATTTACTTTAGAGTTGAGATATAATGTTTTTTTTTTATTGTTTCAGATCAGTGTGTCCTTGTCCACTTTAATCTTCCGTATAAGTGGGAGGTGTATGACGGTAAAGACTGGAGGGATTTAAGAAACATGGAGGAAATAGAGAAAGCTTACTGCGACCCAAAGAATGAATACGGGTCAGTACAAATGCACATCCAAGAGTTTGCTTTCCATTTTTCTTTTTTTAAGACATTTTTTTTTTTGGAAAAAAAAGTATTGTTCCCCCAGTCTCTTTACTCATCCCTTCTCTTTGTATCACAGTCCAGGCTCGAGACCGGTGGATTTTGTGTCCATGACCAGGAACCGTTACCCCGTGCGCCGACTTTCAACAGTCTCTTCCGTCTCTAAACCCGTCCACTATATCCTGACAACAGAGTGGATGTGGTACTATAAAGGAGATCACGAAAATTGGATAGAGTACGGACAACCGGTGAGACTGGATTGCAAACATAGTGGCCATACTCTCATCTGAGAGGAGTTTATGTTTAAGGTCAGGTTGTGGTTTTGTTTCTGTACTGTTTATCTTTAGGATGACAAGCAACGTGTGACCTCTGTAACATCCAGAGAGCTGGAGAAAGCTTTTCAGGAGGACAGCAATGCAGAAGTTACTGTCATTAAGGGCAATAGGCATTACTATGTCAGTTTCCAAGGTACTACACACCTTCATATTCCAGGTCTGGAAAAAAAATGTCATAAAATTATTCATTTAAAAGTGACCTTAAGTATTTATTTTATTATATTATTATTCAATAATATTTATTATGTTATATTGAATTATATGTAATATATTATATTTTATTAAATTATATTATATTGCATTATTGGACTTTCTTTTGTTTACAGATATGTATCAAAGGAACCCCAAACACAACACAAAGAGAAGGGTGCGCAGACGACCACTCTTTGTGTCTATCAATGAGGTGGAAACTAAAGCTTCCCAGTGACTGACAAAACACACAAACACACTCCATATTTACATACCTGAGGATAGATATTCAAATCATGAGTTACTGCTTCAGTTTTTGCCATTTGGATACACTCACATGCTCTTAAAGGGATAGTTTACGCAAAACTGAAAATGCTGTCCTCATTTACTGAGCCTCAAGAAGATATTTCGAAGAATGTGGGTAACTAACATTTTCTTGTCCCCCATTAATTTTTTTTTCTTTCTATGCTATGGAAGTTAGAGAAAAATGTTGCCTGGTCTGATGAGTCTCGATTTCTGTTTAGACATTCAGATGGTAGAGTCAGAATTTGGCATAAACCGAATGAGAACATGGATCCATCATTTTTTGCTTTTTTTTATTATTATTATTGGTTCTATTGGTTTTTCATGTCATGTGTTTGTCTGGTGTGCCTTCAGTGAATGTGGTACCTTTGTGGGATGATATGGATCAGCTCATGAGGTACAAACTTGCACTTTTTTTCAAACCATACAGTACATCAATAAATTCTCCCTGTTTTTTCCTATTTTGTCACTCATTTGAATTCAAGGTTTTCCAGATAATCACTGCAGTCTTGCAGGCCCACTGGTGTTAAGCACCAGGGCTTAAATGAAATAACGTTAATTTGACCTTGCTGACCTTGCTCAATTGATTCAAAACCAATTAATTGATTAAATGTATACTCTAAGCTAGTTAAACTATAGTTAATCTTCATAAAGGAAAAAAATATATATATTAACTTTTTAATTTTTTCCAAACAATGTACAGGACGGGGACATCGAGAAAAAAATGTTTCAACTGAAACCTAAACAAATCGGTTTTGATACAGATTGCACCTAGAAAATTACTAAACGAAATAAATTTAAAGCATTTACCTTTCTAAAAGTAACTGAATTATTAGAAATACAAATAATTAGGCTACACACAATCTCTTATACGTCCTCCAGGCCCTAGTGTAAAAGAACAAGACTATATAAAATTAAAATAAGATGAGCGTGAGAGGGTTGCTAAGGGATCCTGCTGAGAGCCAATGACAGAGACTCGTTCATTCTGTACGTTTCGTATGAATAAATAGAAGGGGCGGGTCATTGCCAAGCGCCGCAGATATCGATAAGGCGTAATTCTCCTGTGTGGAGTGTTTTATGCCGAAGAAATGGACATGGGCTGCCAACAATATATCCTAGAAGCGGCTCACGTATTTTTTTAAGCGGTGCAATTTGTCCAGCGTGAGTGGAAGCGATGGGATCTTGGGTAATGGGCCGTTCGTGGGAAGAGCGAGACCTTTATAACCGCTTCTGCACTACACCGGATACCGGGAAATGAACCACGCACGAGCAACGTTCTGGATACCGTCTATACGAGGAGCTGTCAGCATAAATTCATCTGATTTGATTCTCTGCATCGATATTCTCCATTTATGGCCGTTCTGTCATCTTGATATCGGGTGTGTGTAAAGGGGCGCGCGAGTGAGCCGCATCCGCGCGAGGTGCATTTCAACATGACAGGTAACGCAAACGACGGATATACGGCACTTTTCATTCTCTGTATCTTTGCATGTCAACATCCCATTTAAAAATACCAAAAATATGTATATAACATCATGTGATGTAGGGGTTGGGGAGATCCTTGCGTCTGAAAGATGCCGTTTTTCCATCTTTGACCCTGTGCATGCGCTTCGTCTGTTCCCACATCCGCCCTTTTCTATCTGTACCGCTTTTTATCTGCTTCAGATCATGCCCGTTATCTCCATACCTGTCTGACATGATGCGCGTGATATTAACCTCACGGGAGCATCGGGCCGCGCGCACCGATGATCTGTAACCTACATTTCCACAGTCAGTGTGTATATTCACTTAATGGCATTATAGGTTTGCATGACATTTAAGTACATGAAAATTATACTACGGATGATGCATGATAGATAGATATTTTGCTTTTAATGACATTTTTTCAATATGTTTAGATATTTTACTAAGATTTGAAAAGATGACAATAAAACATTTCATGCTAATTTAATATAGGCTAATTATGAAAAATTACATGTACACATAATGTAAACAGAAATAGTTCATTTTCAATATCGACCTGGTCGATACAATGTTTAATCACTAATTATTATGTAATGCAAAGATGATCTGGAAATAATAAAAATTGTTTGCATAATCATAAAAATAAAAACATTTGATTGGAAGAGCATTCATAAAAGTTCAACTTTATATTGAAATCCCAGACTTTTGATTGCAGACTTTGGCATCTTGACCAACTGGACACATTCCAGATCTCTTCTGAAAGTTATTTTTCTCAGAAGACACATCTTCAAAACATACAATAAACAACTTATACAAGATAATATATATAGACTGGTGATACTATTTGGCAAAAATGGAAACTAAAAACTGATTGATTGATGTGGGGAGAATGATGATGATGATGCTTCCAATTCATCTTCATCTCTGAACTAATGTAAGATTCAGCTTTACTCTCTAACAGATTATGTGTTTTCCCTTCTCACAGCAATGTATAGAGGAAGGATACCAAGCGGGAAGACCTGTGGCTATCCGGGGGACATTTTATCAGGGTCAGATGGCCTGTCTTGAATAAGAAACAAGCAAAAATGGAGAGCTCCAGTTCAAGGATGGTCCTGAGGAGCTCCCGGCGTCTGCTCGGATGTTGTGCGCTTCTGCTCGCGACCGTGATGCTGGCGGGCTTCATCCCGACGTCCAGCTCACCCGTGGCAGGTATCTCATCATATGCATTGAAAGTTTGGCTTTACCATGTTACATTTCATTTGGTTTCTGTGAACCTATTGTGAGTCAATATCATAAATAGCAAGTCTTTTCCATCACAGATGATCTGAACGTCACAGAGACGGTGGGCGTACTGTATGTGCGTGTGATGCTCTCTTTGTGTGAATGACGTCTGTTGCTGTTAGAGGTGCAGAATGAATGGGATTCACAGTGAATTGTATTGAATTATGTGTGAGACAATTCGAAGGAAGTGCATAGCTGCCCACACAGTGACATTTTAGATTGATATTTCCTTGAAATGATGTGCTGAGGATACAGATCAGAAATGGTCGGCTTATTTGGAGTTTCTTTTCTTTTATAGATAAAAGTTCTTTATTTTTATTGATAGTTCCATGAAGAACCTTTAACGTCAATGGAATGTTTCTATTCCACAAAAGGTTCTTTTTAGTGGAAAAATATTCTATTCTTTCGATCGTTAAAATGCTCTTCCCATTAAGATGGTTATTTTAAGAACTATTCAATGAAATGTTTGTTGGTTCATTGTTTTCTCCAGCTTCATTTTTAAGAGTCTAGAAACTTTCAATTGATCGAAAGGTTCTTTAAAGTGGGAAAAGTTCCTAAACTTTTTTTGTCACCCAAACCCCAGTTTGAAGTCAAATATTTACTATAGTCTACTGGTTAATATTTAAATATTTTAATGGCACATTTGCACACTCTAACAATGCTGGGTTGTTTTAACCCAACTTTGGGTCAAATATGGACCAACCCAAATGTTGGGTTAAAAATGTAATAAAAAAATTAACCCAATGGCTGGGTTTGTCCATATTTGACCCAAAGTTGGGTTAAAACAACCCAGCATTTTTAGATTTTAGAGTGCATGTTGATAATCATCATTATCTCAATAATTATTATTACTAGTAGTGGTAGCAATAGTAGTATTTTAACTAAATAAATACAAAAATACTACTTTTGTAAATTACAATTGTACTAATAATTATATTAGATAATTAGTTATTTAATAAGACTATATAGTTATTGAATTAAAATGCAGCTTTTGATTTGATAATTGCACTAACTAAGCTATATTGTGGTTATCTTGCAGCCCCATTTATTTACTTCAATTTTACATCAATTCACGATCCCACAAACTCCTTATAATATTGAAATGTTCTTTACACTAAGAAAAAAAATGTTTGTTCGCCGAAAGGTTCTTTCAAACCCAAATGGTTTGCCGCAAAAGCCAGCTTCAGGAACCTTTATTTTTAAGACAGTCGCTCAGTAACTGGAGATGTGCTGTTGTTGCTTTTGGCCGACAGCAGGCTGATTATTTGTTCACGCTGGTTACACATCACTGTAAGATACACACACACACTTAAACCCAGACAGATGGATGAGCGTCTCATCACTCTCTGAAAGGGAAGACGAAACTTTCTAATGCACGTTGGCTCACCCACTTCATCAACCACTCTAAAGGATGGGGGTTTGTTAGGAGTCACACACCCCGGCAAACCCACAGCTGTGATGGAAGTGTGTCCTGTGGTGGAACAGGCCCCCCATTAAAGCCATTGATCCTGTGTGAGGAGTGGAGTCTCTCTCTCACACAATCTTTCTCTCTCTGTGGCTCTGCGGTATCTGATGGTCGGCATTGATGATTGGATTTAGTAACATCAAAGCTAAGTGGACTTCGGTCTGTAATAATGTGCTGCTATTCATAGATGCAGTTTCTCCTTTATGCCTGGGAATCTGTGTCAGTGGAATCAGTGTTCGTGTGTACGTGTGCGCGTGAGCTCATTCTGTCGGTGTGAGAAATGCCTGTGTGCTCTCTCCGCTGCTTCTGTAGCATACTGATGAAGCGGTCGCCGTGTGACATACTCCTGCAACACACACATGCAACACGCAGCATCACCATGGAAACACCTCGCCTGACCACGCCACACAGCCATTCATAGGCTGTGTGTGTGTGTGTGATACGGGGTCTCTCTCTCTCTCCCCCTGTGTGCAGTTGTGTTCTCCGCCGGGGATGCTCTGACAGTTAACTGAGTCTGAAGTTAATTACTGGAGTTATTTCGTATGTCGTTCCCCAGAGTGGCCCGCCCTGCAGTTTCAACACGCATACATTAGAGCCTTCCTTGACTGGGTGATGTACTTGACCAGATTTAAAAGGGACTATTTAACCAAAATTTCAAATTCAGTCATCATTTACTCACCTTTATGTTAAAAGTTTCTTTCTTCAGCGAAAGAAAATATTTTGAGGAATGACTCTGTGTTGTCTGTATAATGAAAGTCAATGGGGTCCAATGTCGTTTGGATGCTAACATTCATTAGAATACTGTCTAATACATTTTCTTATATTTTTAAAAAGTAAAAGTGTTGATTTTTACTGTAGTGAAGAATTCGAATATTGTCTTTGACTTCTGTGTTTGCGGTAGATCTGTATATTTCGATTTTGTATCATTATAATCTTGTAATTATAGCTGGTGAAGTGGATTTACTTATTGTAGAGTTAAGGCATTGTAATGTTTGAAGCGGATGATGTCGGTTCATTCATAAATCTGTAAGATCTTACATCTACATAAAGTCATACTATAGGTCTGGCTAAAATAATAGTTTTCTTCTATTTTAACTCTCATTCTCAGTGTCATTGTCCATAAATGATCTCCCAGATTCTTGCTGAAGTAGACGACAGTTTGGTTCGCAGCACTTTACTTTTTATAAAGTATAGCTATATAAAATATAACAACATTTGCTTTCTGATGGTTGGCAAACAGGTCCAGAGTTTTTGTTTGTTAGTTCAGTGTTATTATGACTCACTAAACAGATGGATTGCTATTTTTGACAAGTGTTTTTTAACAAGATGAACAGCGATATTTGGCCTGAGGAAACATGACAAGGCATGTCTATGTCTGGCACTGTCTGGTACCACCATGAAGTTTGAAGGCATTCAAATTCAGTTTGACGTTCAATTTCAGTTAAAGGATCTTTGCTACTGTACGTGTTGTATGCTAGTATGACACACTGGCCTACTAATGTCACTCAGCTGCCCTGTACTCCCCTGCTTCCCCACACTGTGCTGTTCAATCAGCCTCATTACCCACAAACCCTCTGTTCTACTCTCAGTGGCCCACAATGGCGATGAATCACAGTCACATTAATGAAAGGCCAGCTCTCATAGGCAGCCTCGGTACCATATGGCTCGTTGAAATAAAGAACAGTCATTTTATGAGTCAACGGTGTCACATTTACTGCCATAGTAAGACTTATGAAATGAGTTTTAGTTTAGCTGTTGTTATTTCAGTCCGTGCTAAACCATAATTGGATCATGATTTTCATGAAAATTGAAATTATTGTTTTGTGCACTTTTAAGAAAACAGATCCACAAGCTGAATGGACAGTGGCCACCAGATGGCGGTCTGTGCCTCTCAATATTCAGATTATAGGGTTCGAAATGGTTGATTCATAAACTATCACCTCTATTAGCTTTTATTTTTATATTAATTGTAGTTTAGGTTTTAGTAATTATGTCTTTATTTCAGTTTTATAATTGTCTTTTTTTTAGTTTAAGTTTTATATTTATATACAATTATTGAAAAGGTATTTGTAATTAACTAAAAGCGAAAAACTATAAACTAAAAGTTTTATAAATAAAGTATATTTATGTAATATATTAAGTATTGTAATACATTAGGATAATATATTAGCATATATTTAGCATAATTCTAAACATCATTTTAACCCCATACAGTAAGTCTGGAATAAAATGATAATTGAGTAAGTTGTGTATGTGAGATAAGTGTGTATGTATGTATATATATACAGTATATTACATTTATGAACTTTTATGTTATATTTGACAGCACTAATAATTAAATATTCTGTTTGAACCATGTGATCAAAAAGACTCGATGCCACTCTCAATATTAATATAAAAGTGTTTTATTTTTTATTGTTATTAGTAGTAGAATAATATATTTTTATTATTATTATTGCATCATACTAAAAAAGAGCTGTAAGTCATGGGTCATGGGGACACAAATAGCCCAGTTTTCAGAAAATGGCCTAATATTTGTTAAAATAGCTTTCAGAAGCCTTTTATTTTGCTCATGCAACCTATTCATATGTATGTAGATTTAGATTGATTGTTTAAGATCTTAAATTCAATTTAATAATCATCCACAGAGCTAGTTTGCATAGAGAAGTTGTGAAAAATGACTGTCTTGTGTGCAATCTGGGCTCTTCCTGAGCTGTGTGTTATGAACGATTTGGATGTGTTGTATGTATTTACACTCAGTCCTTCTGCTGTTTGCAAATATTGAATTTCTTGTTGTTTGGTTTTGGCACAGTCAAACTTTTCTGTTTCTTTTATCTTTCCGAAGTGGAGCTCCCATCCAACATGTCTAAAAGGAGTCTCAATCAACTTCCAACAAGACCACATTCACCTCCTGCCTTATCTTCATCATCTTCGTCTCCTCAGCGTTCAGAAAGAACCAGGCGTCCAGCTCACACGCCACCAGGTGCCAAACATCCCTCATCCTCTGGTCACCACGACAGTGCCTCCAGTATAGATCCCACCCCGTCCCTTAGCTCCGAAGGGTCGGGTAACCTGGGCGACGGGGCCCAGGGCATCCACTTGCTGTTACGGCCCCCAGACCTTCTAACGCCCAGCCAGATGCCTCCTCTCCATGGCAACAGACCGCCTACGCCAGCCCCCCCGACCCTGGTGCAGCCCGAAGACCTGTATCCCGCCCACTCTGCGGAGGTGGACTGGGGATCCGGAGACTACCTAGAAACTCTTACGTTCATGGGATCCGAAGGGGAGGAGTTTTCTCTCGTCACCACCCTTCCTACCCATGGATACGATCCATATGATGCCGACGATGATGCCACAGTCAGCTACAACACAGCTTTCCCTTCTCGTCCCATCCTGCCCCTCTCGTCCAGAGACCTCCAGCCCAGCGCGACCGTAAAATACGGGAATAACTTAAGGACGGCTCATCCTACTGATCCCCGCCTTCCATTGGCTCCTGACTCTGCCCACACAAGCGATATGGACGATGATTTGGATTTCGATTGGGCGGAGCTTTTTCCCATTGAGCCAACTGAAATGCTGCTTCCCGACATGAACAGTTTGGAATACTACAACACGTTGCAAGCCAAAGAGAACGCTAGTATTGCGAGGAACAGGACGCACCCTCACATCACCCCAACGCACACTGTAGAAACCCCCCACACTACCACTGCAACTTTGGGAAAAGTCCCTGATCATGTTGACCTGACAGCCCCTCAGCCCATTCCATCAGTGACCCCAACTCCACCCCAAAAACCTAAGCCTCCCATCCCATCAACCACCGAGACACAACGACCTCCTGAAGCCCCAAAGAAGGGTGTTCATTCCATACCCACGTCCCATGGGGGCAAAACCCGACCGTCAGTGCCAACCGCCCTGCCTCCACCCGGCACCTTTGAGGGTCCAGTAATACAAGCTGTCACGCTGAAGCCCCCCGCTACGAAACCCCGTACAACCACCATCAAAACCCCCATCAGAACTACAACTACAACTAAAAGCACGACTACCACGAGCACCACCAAAAGCCCACCGCCTACAACTCCCAGAATTCCTCTGTCCATCGCACCCCGACAGTACATTTGCAACATCACCAAACCGGACATGTACCTAGTTAGAGTGGGTAAGACAACAAGATATTTTAATTTTGGGAAATTATGGATGCACAATAAATCCGTAATATATAAATTACTGGCTGATTACAATGTTCTCTTTATGCATATTAATTTTCTATATAAATAATCACACTAATTTATCATTTAAATTTAACACATTCATTTTTGTTTTAATTGATTTGTTTTGCACTAGCAGTATTTATAATTTTTTTGTATACCTTATATATAATTTGTCATTATTGTCATTAATGTTTTCGCATTTAGTTCATCTTTAAAATCTGTTATAATTTACATTTAAGTAAGACTTAAATAATGTAACACTGTTAAATATAATCTTTAGTGTGTTGTGATGGCTAAAAAAATAGTTCTCATTTATTTGTGTACTCCTATTATTTCACTTTATATAAAGGTATATCTTTTTTGTTCACCTTCTCGTGTGACTCTTGCAGGAATGCCAAGTGGGTCATCCGTGGCGTTTGCCAAAGCTCACGTGCGGGAGATTCTTCGACGAGAGTTCAACCGTTCAGTTGAGCTACAGGTTAGTGCATAAGATCACAACAGATTCAGCATTTTATCTTTAGGACGACTGATATCAATCTGTGCTATCAATCCAGGTCCTCAAAGCCCCGCCCAATTTCATCTTCCGGGCAGTCTCCGGGCCATTAGTGTACACTGCTGTGTCCGTCATCAATACTCTCCGCCAATCAGCACACAGCACTTCTTATTCTACCATTCTATCCGTCACAACCATATATGCCGTGCCCGATTACAAACATCAGGTCCACACAGGTGAGAGAGACACCAACATATAACCAGAGAATGGCATGCTCACGTGTGATTAACTCAAAAAAGGAAACAAAAAAGTTACTTCATTAATTAATTTATTATTATTTAACATTGTTTCTGAGCCAAATTCTAAAATAAATTATAAAACAATTTTTTTAAATTATAAAAAACAAATATTTTAAAATTATGTCATATTAATTAAATTTTTTTTAAAATAATTGTATTATATCATTTAGAAGTATAATATAAATATTGTATTTATATTTGAAGAATGAGTGTTATATTAGTTTATTTTTCTTGCAGTGCTGCAGTTTGTGCCGAGTCATGTGGACGTGCGTCTGTGTAGCTTCAGCGAGCGTGTGGAGAAGGGGTTACTCATGGCGTATGCGGAAGTACGCAAGCGCTCGCAAGAAAATGGAAATTTCTCAGTTCACGTACGTAAATCCTTTCAAATTCAAAATAAAACACATTTTTAGCACTTTACATGAATTTGAACACTTACTGTTCATCCATTATCCATTGTGTTTCTTTAAATTGTATTGATAATGCTGTATCATTGCTTTGTCTAGATTGTGAATATCACTAGTAGCGTTCCTAAGGGTCAGCGGCAGCAGAAGGCTCCGGTGGACATCACCTTTGCTGTGCGTGACTCCCAAGGCTTCCTAACGGGTTCAGACGTGAGTGGCCACATGAGGCAGCTCAGCACTGTGGAGTTCAGCTTCTATCTTGGTTTTCCTACCCTGCAGATCGCTGAACGTGAGTTGGCATATACACACACAGGCTCTTTGTCTTCATTTATTATGAACTTTTTTCATTTATCATTTTAATTTTTGCCTTCCAGCTTTAAATTATCCTGAATTGAATGTGTCCCACCTTTTACGCACATCCTGGGTGAAAACAGGTATGTGGATGTATTAGAAATCGATTTTGAGATGTTAAGATGTTTATGTTATTAAGACCAATATTGGAAGTTCATCATTATTTAAGTAAAATATAGATTGTTACATACAGTATAAAATAGGTTTTATGTCTAGATTGTTGGGTGGCATACAGGATTGATGCTGGTCCGTTCTGTACACGAAAACAGCCAATATGTATATTTAAAAATAATAATAACAATATAATGGACAAATTAATTTACTTAATAGTGTCTAGATGAACACTGTTTTGTCATATCATCTGATCTATACATTTTAGATAATAACAATATAATGCAATACAATACAATATAAATAAAAAAATAATAATATCAATATAATGGACAAATTAATTTACTTAATGGTGTCTAGATGAACACTGTTTTTGTCATATCATCTGATCTTTACATTTTAGTAAAAAAGGTAAATATTAAAAATAGTAAAATAGTAAATACTAAAAAACATTTTAGTATTATAACCCGTAGTTATAATAATCAAATAATTAAAAAAAAAATAATTCATATCAATAAATAATTATTAATGAAGCAATATTATGTTTGAGGTTAGTTATGTTAGGTAAATATAAATATTTTTCATTAAAGTTATATAATTAATTCATATAATTATAATTATGTATAGCAGCTATACATTTTTAGTAAACATACAAATATTAATATTTTCTTTTTCATGCGCATTTGCTATAGTTTTACTGGGTGTGTTGGACCAGCGTGTGAATGAAAGGACGTTCCAGGCCAAAATGGAGAGGCGGTTAGCACTGCTGGTCGGAGAGGGACTTGGGATTGGGGTTAGCAATCGACGATGGAGAAGAGCTACTAGTATTGGCAACAACAGTGTGCAGGTACATACAAACACACATACAAAAGTGAACACACTTTTTTTACATAACCCACACATGACATAAGCATGAACCCTGGTGTGCCTCAGATCGTTCGAGCGTCCCGTCTGGATGGCCCAGACTACCCGTTGGAGCTGGTGTATTTTGTGGAAGCGGGGTCAGGAGAGAGACTGCCAGCCCAGGCCACTGCAGTCATGCTCAACAGACTGAACCTGCAGAGAGCTGCCATCGTACTGGGCTACAGAGTACATGGAGTTTTGGCCACACGTGAGTCGACGCATTGGCTTTATAGGGGTCCTGACATGGTTTTTTAACCATGTTTTGGTTAAATGTTTTTTTTACATTGTTAATAAAGTTTTTACTCACAAAACTTTTTTTTTTTAAGGCTTGTCAGTAAATTACCAGTTATGATTGGCTAACGTCATCGTATAGGGAAAAGTATCAACGGCCCCTCACTATTGCATGAGATTAAGTGTTTTAAAAACAACCATATAAAACTGAAATTTAAAGACAAAGCATTATGAAATTGTTTAATTACAGATTGCAAAGTAGCTGCTTTAAAATTCAATGCAGTTGGCTGCTTCATCGTTGAACAAGATTTTCTTTTCAAACTTTCCATTACACTGTGCCTGCAGTCAAATGCTCCGAACAAACATACAGTCCTCTGAATCGACTCAGGGCGTGATTAAAAATGATCCACTTGTTCCTGATGCCTCAACCCTTCCGTACAGAGATGCAAATGAGCTGTTTAAACAGGACGCGTCAAAGTGAACGTTCCTTTACGCTTCTATGTGTCCTGTTGTCAGCTGACAACGGGTATGTCAGAAACTGAACGCACATCTGTATACTGTGTATCCAGTGTAGACCGCGTCAGTAATTTTATAATGGGTTCTATTTGCTTTTGACGTGCCTTTAAGCGAATGAACTCCCGTGGGCGGGGCCTATGGTGCAATGATGTGAAACTATTCAATGTCTTGCTCTAGACTAGAGGCAGTCATATGAAAATGTATTTTGCTGTGTGACGTCACAGATACCGCAATATCCAAACAAGCTATTTTTGGAGCCTGGTTGAATAATTTTTGTAATAAAGAGGCCGTTTTAACCATGAAAATTGCAGGATGTTTTAATGATACAAAAACCTCTTACATGTGAAAAGCTCAAGGAAAATTGTATTTCTCAAGTCGTGACCCATTAAAGACACTATTTCAATTAGAAAATGGTATCTTTTTGTGCCAAATATCTCATTACTCTGTTTCAGCGGTGGAGAAGCTGGCCCTTCCGCCCTCTGAGACTCAGTCCAGTAACATTTGGCTGATCGTAGGAGTTGTGGTCCCAGTGCTGGTGGTCATCCTCATCATCATCATCCTTTACTGGAAACTGTGCCGCTCTGAGAAGCTGGAGTTTCAACCAGACGCCATGAGCACCATCCAGCAGAGACAGAAGGTCTGGGTCTCTGAGTGTGTGAGTGTATGAATGTGTTGCCCACTCATAGACACTACATGTGAAGGAGATTCGTGACTGTGCTCATTATTGCTCACCCATGTCAAGAGCTTTTACAGAAAAATGAGCTACTTTGCAACAGTTAATTTAGCATGTTGTACATATTTACTGTCCATTCATGTGTGTTTGTGATTTTAGTTGCAGCCTCCCAGCGTTAAAGGTTTTGATTTCGCTAAGCTACACCTGGGGCAACACAGTAAGGATGACATCATGGTAATCCAAGAACCCGCTTCTTTACCGCCGCCTGTTAAAGAGGCCACGCCCTCAGAGGGCGGAGAATTGAACACTCCTAAATCGAAGAGCTCATCTACAAAAGCGTCACGTGCTGCACGGAGAAGAGGCCGGTAAGGAACCGTTGATCATGTGATGTGGATTGCGAGTGAACAGGTTCTGTTTGTATCAGTGGTATTTCAGTATTGTTTGTATTTATATTTTCAATTTTATTTGTCATTTTTATGTGTTTTTCTCTTACTATTTAGGTTTTTCAGTTTTAGTTTTTATTTATGTACAGTTAGCAATTTTTATTGCTTCAGGTTGGCATAATTGCCGAACTTCACAATAACAAAGGTTTGTCTGGTTTATATTCGAGTTTTTAATCACACAAATTGTGTTTTTGTCAGATTGTCTCCATCTGATGGAGATTCGTTAGGAAGTGAAGCATCCAGCGGTAGAGAATCAGCTGAGGAGAGCACCAGACCTGCTGTGACCCCAAGTGACTGCAAACCCCAACATCGCAAGAACAAGCATGGTACCATATGGCACAAACACACACACACACACACACGTTTCTGAACGAATCCCCGTTTTTAACAAATCGGGTGAACCAACGATTAAATGGTCCATTGATAAAGAGAACCATTTACATTGTTCGCACATAATATTCTTAAAATTAATTATAATAATTCTAATATAAAGTGTAAGATAAAGTTGCTTTGGAATGATTTGTAATATGAAAAGCTAAATTAAATGACATATCAAATACAATGAATGAAATTAAACCTCTTTGTCTCCATTCATTCCTGCGGTTCAACAGCAAAAAACAAACATGGTAAGTTTCTTTACCCAAAGTCAAGTTGCATTCGCATATTGTTAGTTAAAAAACAAAAATCGTGACCTTTGCCATCTGGCCTTGATGTCCAGGTACTCAGCCTGGAAGTGGTGTGGATGAGCAGTTGTCCTCGTCGTCCATATTTGAGCATGTGGACCGCCTGTCTCGAGGTTCGTCAGATGGAACTCGCAGAGTGTCCAATAAGATACAGCTTATTGCCATGCAGCCCATGCCAAGCCCACCCTCCTATCCACATAACCAAGCCCTGAGTCCCAACCTGACGGACAAGATGCATGACGGAGCCAATGTCAACAGTGAGGTAAGCTCACACTTGCATAATGCAACATTTCCCAAAATATTCATCAATAAATGATGTGTGATTTGAATTCAAGTCATCTTTAAGAAAACATTCATAACTTATTCCCATTCTTCCAACTGACGCAGATCCAAGTGGCCTTAAGGCATAAATCCGAGATCGAACACCATCGCAATAAGATCCGCCTGCGTGCCAAGAGAAAGGGCCACTATGAGTTTCCCTCCATGGAGGACATCATGGCAGCGTTCGCCGACAGCTCCGAGCAGCAGCGAGTGTATCAACAAGCTCAGGAGCAGATACACAAGATCCTGCATCCTGAGGAACACACGCCTTCATCGCGTGGAGAGCCACGCAAAAGGTCAGTGGAAATAAATCTCACTTGTCTTGTACTTCCCCAGTTTGCCACCAAGGAAAGTGAACGCAATTTGTTTGGGAATTGCAGTTCCAGAGGAAAACGCTCTCCCAGGCACAGACAGAGACCAAATTTGAGTGGAAGCGGAAGTCTCAGAGACAAAGATCGCCTCATTAATGACGGAGATGCCACGTACAGGAAGTACCCCGGGGTCAACAACGTAGCCTATGTGGTAGGACACACACATATGTGCATACACATATCTGAACTAAAACACGCAGACTGACCGATTCTCTTCCTGTAGTCTGATGCAGATCAGCTCCCAGATGCAGAAAGCCCTTCTCCTACTGATGAGGTGTTTTTGGACCCTGGATCGCCACCATCTGGCCCCGCCCCTGCTCCGCCCACCTACACACCCCCTCAACCAACCATCGAAGAAGCTCGGCAGCAGATGCACTCCTTATTGGATGATGCTTTTGCTCTCGTCTCGCCCTCTTCTCAAGGAAGCCCCGCTCCTCTAACGTTCACTGGCATTACCGCGGTCACTGGCGTCGAAGGAATCAGCCCCGGTCAACCCTCCAGCCCATCCTCACGCCCCTCACGCCAATGGGGCTCCTCTTCTTACCCAGCAGCCCCTGCACACAGTCCTTTCTCTGCTGTGAGTGACTGTGGAGATTTGAATGCTAAAAGTTGAATACAACTAATGTGACGCTTTATGTGAAATATCTCTTCTCTCTCTGCTCTGTAGAGGTATGCTGAGTTAGGAATGTCTCCCACATCGGTACAGGGTTTACTGCAGAGGTGAGGAGGATTCTGGGAGGTTTTATGGAATAAGCTTACAAGAACAGTTAGGAGGAAGCAATTTGATATGTTAATATGATGAAGAAGGAAAATGTTCCTGGTTAAACTGGTATCACAACCCTCCATCTTGAAAACAATTGTGCTGATCTGCAAAGAAGGCCTTGTATTACCTCATTTGATCCTGTTGAAAAAAATCGTTAAAAACTTTCCATCATTTACAGTTTTTTCACAAAATAAGAATGAAGATTGTTCAAATTATATATATATATATTCACTAATAAAAGCAGGAACATGTTTCGTTTTCATAACAAAAATGTAAAAGAACTTTAAAATAAATAATAACAAAATAAAAAAATCCTGTTGCTGTGTGGATGTAGTAAACCACCCTCAGATTTAGTAGATAACATCTGGGTCATCTTTGCAGAAGACTACTAAAAGTAAAACTGCTACAAAATGCACATCATATTTTGTGTTTGTATTGGATTATTAGTATTGGATTTCTTGAATTGTTGGTATTTTGTTAATTATTTATTTCTCCCTGATTCTCACAAAATATATTTAAAAAAATATATATATTAAAAATATTTTTAAATATTCAAAACTTATATATTTTAAATGATATTTTATGAAATATACATATATTTTATGATACAGTGTGTTATTCTAGAGCAAAACAGGCACTATTTGTTGAAATCAGCACCCCAAAATTAGTAAGAAACAAGTATTGGATTTCATCCAGAAAATAGGATGCAAGGTGGTGTTATCAGAGCGAATATCAAGTTTGAGTACAGGAAAAACTAACTTGTTAATCTGTCTTCTAGTGTATAAATATTGATCTTGTTTAGATTTAATATTTACTTAGCAGATTATTTGTTTAGTTTTGACAGGCAGGCGCAAGGCTCTGCGTATCTGGCATCAGCAGAGATGCAGTCCGATCCTGGATACTCTAGCAGGGGACAGTATGGAGAAGAGATGCCTTCATCTTCTCGGCCACGGCCAGTGGGGGGAAGCACAGGTAAAGGTCATATTAGTTCAATTTAACGTGCTTTATGTGCTATAATTATTGCTATATGTTGTGTGTGTAGGTGCACAGTTGCATCAGCTGACACAAGTGGGCTTGTCAAGTCGGATTGGAATGTATCCTGGAGTTGGCCGTAGTGTATCTGGACCCTCGGGATCAAGCTGGACACAGTACCGCTCAGATGAGGAGATCTCTAGGCCAGGATCCAACCGAGAAGCTGTAAATCAAACATACACATTCATTATAACTTTTTCAGAATTGCACTAGTAAATATAATATTATGCCATTCAATATGGGATGTTATAAAATCCCAAAACTGCACTGCAGTTTAGCTGCATACAATAAAAATCAATGGCAAAAGTGTGAATGGGCAAATAATAATAGCCTAACATCATTTAATTGGTTTAATTTTTAAATCAAGATCATTCAAAATATGTATTTTTAATCATTTACTTAATTTTAAATATAAAATATTGAAATGTAATTTATTTAAAATGTATTTAAAATAAAATGTATATTTTAAATGCATATATTTCTATATTATGTATATTTAATTTAAGTTTGTGTGTGTTTAATCTGTATGTTTGTTGGTATTTTATTCATTTTTTCTCCCCATCTCTGATTCTCAGAGAAAATATTTAACTTAATTTATGTATTATATATATATATATATATATATATATATATATATATATAATTGAATTTAAGTTTGTGTTTAAGCATAATCTGTATGTTTATTGTTTTCCTGAATTGCTGGTATTTTAATCATTAATTCTCTCTTCATGTCTGTTTCTCTCAGATACTGACATTCCCAGAATACTCTTCATCACCTGTATTCCAGATGCCCAGGACATCCCTGCAGGATCCCACAACACCCCAGGCCCACCTGGAAGCCTCGAGCGCGGGGTACGTTGCCCCCGAGGAGCGTTCTCCACCCCCTCACTCCTCGGCCTCTCTCATCAAGGCCATCAGGGAAGAACTGCAGAGACTTTCTCAGAAACAGGCTGCTGTTGTCAGCTACCACAGTTGAGAAAGACCATTCCAAAACCCCAGTCCTGGTTAACTTCCCGATGTACCACATAAACAACCTCACAAATCCCAACACAGCTCGATGGCTGAGAAACTGCTTTACACAAAACCCAAACCAAAATCTTCAAATTCAAGTACGGCTGGTCTGTTACATATGAAGAAATACTAGCAATCATCCCTGCTTGTATCGGCAGGAAAATTCCACGGTTTAAATGTCACTGCTGACATGCAGAAAATTCAACTAAATACTCTCTCCTATGATTCACAATAAAAAACACACCCTAAACGTCCTGTCCAGACTGTTTAGAAAAATAGACAAAGTTGCCCCGTATTCAGACTCTCAATTTGCATGCTGAGAGTTGTGAACCTTCAAGACTTAGTGCTGACTGTTGCTAATGTGAAACTCACTCCCATTCAGTTCCATGTCTCTCAAAGTGCTTCCTTCAAATGGGTCATCTTCGTGTCTCCGGACTTCCTCTGGTGCTAAAAATCATTTCTGGGCTGTGCCACAATACCACAAACTAGCCCTGGCCAAAAACTCTGAAGTGGCTTTCTTCTTTTTTTCTTTTTTGCCGCTATCCTGTTCTCCCAATTATTCAAGACGGATTATCAAGTAGAAACGTGCTCTGTTCCACAATCTAGTGAGCCTCCCGGAAAAGGTACCCAACATAATTATTCAATTAATTTTCACCAAATTATAATTCTTCACAGAGAAGGCAAACCCACACGCATGGTGAACGAGGCAAGAGAAACGTCCATTATAAAGTTTTATAAAAACGTTCAAATAATTATTTAGCTCAACATTTGTGCGTTCTGTGTATTTTTATATTTATTAGAGTGTCACGCCTTTAACTTCGCAAAATGCTGACGTCAGTCTAGAGAAATGTCAGATATAAAGTTTGATGAATTTCATTGAGTAACGTTACCCAAAAATTTTACCCAAAATTTGCGAGTTCTGTGTATTTTTATACTTCTTAGACTGAGAGTCCTTGAAAGAGACTTTGGCTTAGCAAAATGCTAATATCAAAATCTGGTCTAGGCAAGAGAAATGTCTATTATAATGATAAGTAGCTTAGCTTATATTATTTTACTCAGCATTTGTGAGCTCTGTGTATTTCTTACTTATTAGAGTATCACGCCGTTAGCTTAGCAACATGCTAACGTTAAACTCGTTTGATTGACATCAATTGCAAATCGAGTCAATATAGTGTTTTCCAAATGAGCTACTTATGAGGTTCCATGACATTTGGGATGTCCAGCAGCTCACTAGTTTTTGGAACAAAACCTTCAGGTCTTGCCATACATTTGAGCTCCGAGTACTTCAAACTCTGCAGGGGAGGGAAACAGATTTTGTTAGGATTGTAAACAGTGAAGTTACTCTGAGTTTTTGAGCCAGCCCACATGTGGAGATGATCGACAGGCGGCCTCAGTTGCAGACCAGCATGGTTCCCAAGCCGAGAAACATCATATTACTTTGTCCAACCGGTCTGCATCTGAGGAAAAGTATCAAAGCAAACATCCATGATGCCCGTGTGTATTCTTTTGAGCTCGTTTTGCCAGTGGGTTATGTTGGCTGTCCAATCATTTCAGTGTCTTTCTAAAGTATGGCTGAGGTAGTTTCTCAGTTGATATTAATTTTGCACATTTCCTCATCTTTGCACATTCATATCATGGTGATAATGGAAGTCAATCAGTTAAAGAGTTTATTGTGGAAAAGAGAGTATAGTATACAGTATCTATATAAATACTATAAAGAAAGATATAAGCGAGTTCATATTCTATACAAATATATATATATTGCATATTAATGTCTTAACTCATTGAGCACAATCTGATTATATGTTAGATTATATGTTAAACATATTAGATTGTATTTATTTTTATTGTTATGAAACGTATTAAAGATGTGGGAAAAGTGTTGTTATGGGACATTTAAAAAAAGACCAAATCACTGTTGAGGCATATAGTTCCTTTAGCTTCGTAATTCAGTAGGCATTATCAATGTATTTTCATGTAAATGGTCATGTGGATTTGCACAGAGATGTTGTAAAGATTCCTTTAAGGAAATGTGTTGAGGTTAATGGCCTTTAATTGCCTGTACTATTTTCCCTCTCTTTATTGTTATTAATTTTTATTATTTATTTTGGTTATACAGGGTTCCCACACTCATGAAGAACTTTTTTCGCATTGAACATGAATTCGCATTTTTCAAGCTTGAAAAAAATGTCATTGAATGATTTTTATCACAATTTTCATTTTTTTATATAACATTTTCTAGATTTCAGGTTACATCATATATCTAGTAAATATTTCATTAGCTCGAAATTGCTTTTTGGGAGTGCAATAAAATGATTTTAAAAATCGTTATCCAATAATCATGACTGTAAATCAATAATCAACTAATTGAAAAGTCATGGAAATGTATTGGTCAAAAGGTGTGGAAACCCTTTCGGTCTTTGTTTTTATTTATTTTTTATATCCCTGTCTTTTTTACATCTAGAATTTTCCTTTCTTCATTCTTTCTATATTTCTATCAAACATGTAGACTCCTGGCAGGCCTTAAATTGGTACGCATGTGAAGTGATGGATTATGCTTTATTTCTTCCTTGTTTATTTTGTGTGATAATGTCTTGATGGGCATGCTAATAGTCTTTAAAAATATTGAAAAATACTACGAACAAGCTTGATAGAATTTAACTTACATTGAAAGACTAATATGTAATGGTTCATTAGACTAAAAACTAATGGTCAAAGCACAGAGAAACCATCCTGATCATCAAAAAAAGAAGAAGAAATTTTCAGTATTTTGTCATTTTTAAATCTGAATAATATTTTTGAAAGTATTTGAAAATCAATATTTATGACTAAAATATATCCCATAGAAAGAGTATTAATATGTAAACGGACATTTCTCCATATTTAAATATTCAGTATGTAGTCCACAGTTGACCGAGGCAAACATCGTTGTCAGACGCCCCCTTTCCCACTGTGCAAAGACCAACTGCTTTTTTTTCTCTCTCATATTTTTTTTTTTTTTCTTTCTAATTTTGTATATTTCTTAATGAGAAGTGTACGGATTCATAAAAAAGACTATGTTGAGAATAAGTGTATAAGTTATATTTCAGTCAATTGATTAACATGGTGCTATACTCAATGTGAGTGTGTGTGAGAGGTATTTTGACTGTCTGAAACCATCAAACCCTTACAGCGTTTAACTGAACTTAATCATATATTTATAGCAATTACAATGTGCAAACTCTGAGATTAATTGAATGCAGTGTGTGTGAGAGAGAGAGAGAGAGAGAGAGAGAGTGTGTGTGTGTGTGTGCGTGTGTGTGTGTGTGTGTGTGTGTGTGTGTGTGTGTGTGTGTGTGTGTGTGTGTGTGTGTGTGTGTGTGTGTGTGTGTGTGTGTGTGTGTGTGTGTGTGTGTGTGTGTGCGCGCGCAATAGTATACCTCCCCCTGTCCCTATGTCAGTGCCATAGTGGATATCATAGGAATGTAAACTAAATCTTACAGAAAGTTAATTTTTCATTTAATTTAAACTACCTGAAATCTAACCACATTTTCATCTTTTTTTTTGTTAACAATGCTAACACCATCTTTGTGATCCTATCATGCAGGTGTATGTGTATATTATATATATATACACTTCTGTCTTGTTTCTTTCTCTCTTGGTCTCTGCAAACTGCATCCCAGTATTTGATGTTTAATGTCTCTATATTGTTGTGTAAATTAAATAATAAACAATGTGCCGTCAGTTATGTCTCTTTCGTGTCAGTACTGGGTGTAATTTATCTAATACAATCTGTAATGCAGCATAAATCTAAAAAAAATATATATTAATAATACAATCTGAAGCTATTGGTCTTGTAATAGGCTATGTAACCATAAGTGCACTCTATCTATCTATCTATCTATCTATCTATCTATCTATCTATCTATCTATATTGGAAGATGTAGTTCAAGATTCAGATATGGCTTCAATAAAAAAATAAAATGGTATAAAATAAAATAGGCCTAATTCTGAAATGTAAACTTGTAAAGGATTAACTAAACATTTAATTTAACACTTTTTCAAATAAACATCTATCTAATCAATGTATGTCAACTGTTTTGAAGTAAGCCTATACTTTCATCGATAAAAGTAGCCTATGTTGTGAAGTCGATTAATATTTCATTACTAGTCAATGTCGACGATCAAGATGTTTTGGTCGCGCCCACTTCGGCTGAAACCTGGTAACATTACTCACACGTCTCTTGCCTAACAGGTCTGTAGAATTGCAATTGTTATATTTTGACAAGAATGTAGGCTACACTACAAACATGTCAGTGCCCACAGCTTTGTTTTCACGATTTAGGTCAGTATACTCAGACTCAGGCAAAGGAGAGCAACATTAAAACCTGCTTGTCCACTTAGAGAAGCTGCGTCCACTCTCGACAAACAGCGAAATAATCCAATCCACAGTTCCTTACAAATAGAGCAAAGTAAAACGATATTGGGCGTGTTATCTTGACCCGAAAGAAAGAAAGAAAGAAAGAAAGAAAGAAAGAAAGAAAGAAAGAAAGAAAGAAAGAAAGAAAGAAAGAAAGAAAGAAAGAAAGAAAGAAGAAAGAAAGAAAGAAAGAAAGAAAGAAAGAAAGAAAGAAAGAAAGAAAGAAAGAAAGAAAGAAAGAAAGAAAGAAAGAAAGAAAGAAAGAAAGAAAGAAAGAAAGAAAAATGAGTCATGTCCCTTTAAAAGTTAAGCAGAACTCCGTCCATGCTGAAGGTTGTGACGTTGTTTAGGCTACCTGTCTGCAGGTGTGTGCGGGTGTTGTTATTGCGGGGAGGTTGATGCTACTTTGGGAGTTTTACAATTTGTACAGAGTTCAGAATCTGGATTATACAAGCGAAATAGGTAGAATTTTATAGTTTAGAAATCTCCTGGACCCATTTTTATCAGCGTTTTTGCGAGACTGATTTGCATAAATCGCTGAAAGGGCTGACACAACATACGGGAATTTCTGGAAGAGCAGCCTTTCTGTCAAACTACAGTATCAAAAAGTGTCAATCGGTGTGAGATGCGATGGGAAAAGCTTCGACATGACGGAGAATCGTGTTTGATGAGCTCATCATCCGATGTTATGGTAAGAATTGCTTTTAAGTAGACTAGTCTTTTGCTGTGTGGTGTAATTGTGTCACTCATTGTAACATAAATAATCAGAGCACAATGTTTGTTTAATAATCAAAAGGTATAGGCCTACATCAAAGAATATATTACCATGGTTCTTGTCTTAGAAAACGTGTTTATGTCCAAAAACAACAACAACATGATATTATGTGTCCAAACATGGTGTATTTGTCCAAAATATAGGTGATTACCATACATGTCTAAAAACATGGCAAAAAAAAAAAACCGTTATTATCATGGTATGTCGAAAACAAAGTCACGGTAATACCATGCTTGTCCAAAAATGATTCCACTATAATTTTTTTAAGCGTTCTTCTGTTGCTTTAAGGTCTTAACTTTTTTTTGTTAACATAAAAGTTTCATCCAAACTTTTCAGTGCCTATGATTGGATTGAAGAAATAGCGTGACTTTTCAGAGAGGATGGCATTAAAGAGATCATCTTCCATGAAGACCCAGCTGGTCAATGGTATCCAGCTTCAGGAATTGGAGCTGGAGGAAGAGATCAACACCAGTAGCAGCAATAACACACCTTCTCAACCTGCCGAAGCCAAAGGTAAGGAGCAAGCAAACAAACTTAAAGTAGATATGTTTATCCTCTCAGAGAGCAATGCAATCCCTCAAGTAGCTTCCAGTCACTTAATCGAGTGGGATTTTGACCTCTGTAGCCCACACAGAACCGAAATGCTACACCGTTGAGGAAGCTGTGGAGAGCATCGGCTTTGGACGCTTCCATGTTCTGCTTTTTGTCATCATGGGTAGTGCCAATGTAAGACAAGTGTATGTGTTTGTCTCTGTAATTCATTAACCAGCATACTGTTTTTACTGCTTACATGTTTCATTGCTTTTGTGTGTGTGTAGATAGTGGAGGCAATGGAGATCATGTTGTTAGCTGTGGTTTCTCCTGAGATCCGCTGTGAATGGCGTCTAGAGGATTGGCAGGTGGCCCTTGTCTCCACGGTGAGGAGCTCGTCCAATCGGAGCGCTTTATTTTGTTTTCGCTTTGAAGTTTGACAGGAATGGAATGTTGAAGGGCAAGATGCACACGTGTGTCTTTCTGACCCATTTTTGTATGTATTTATAGGTGATATTATTTATTTAATGCTAAAATACTTCCTTCTATCCCAGGGTTATATGCAAAGGAAAACTGGGTGATTTTTTTTTTTTTTTTTTTTTTTTTGTGCAATTCCATAATATTCAGAAATAATCATTAACAGACTTCTATTTTGTTTTTTTAGATGGTGTTCATGGGTTTTATGGTATTTGGAGTCCTCTGTGGCTATGTTGCCGACAAATATGGACGCTGGAAGGTCAGACCATATTTCTTTTAATCTATAACAAGTGGTGTATTGTGATTGGATGGTAACTGAGATTTAAGGGAAAAACATGTTTGTTCGCACAGGTGGTTTTTGGTGGCTTTATATGGGCATCATATTTTTCTCTGCTCACTTCATTCTCTCCATCGTACGGCTGGTTCATCTTCCTGCGCTGTATGGTGGGCTGCGGTGTTGCAGCCACATCTCAAGGGTGAGATTATGCAAATCATAATGTACTAACATATTTTCTATACATACAAAACCTGGAAATGTCAATTGTACATTTTTCAAGATATGCTTTGCTGAAAAATATTTCAAAAATGTCTCTTTGTTAGACAACGACTTGCTTGTGAGCCATAGAAATGTTCATTTTGGATCACATTATTCTTTTGAGTAATTGTTTGATTCATTTGGAAATCTGTCTGAATCAAAATATTTTTTCAAAAAAAATGTCTTGGAAATTCATTGGTCATAAATTGTGGTAACCTTGATTTTCCAGAATACATAAAAAGAATAATTCAAATGCATTGACTAACTCTCCAAAATTCTCTGCTATTTTCTTTTTAAAGGTTTATTTTAAAGACCGAATTCATCCCGGCTAAACACAGAGCAATCCTGCTGCCTCTTGCCTCAGTGAGTGCTAAATGCAAAATTATAATAATAATAATAAAACTTTTATGCTTCTATAGCACCTTTAAAGAGCTTCTCAAAGCGCTTTTTTAAATTTTTGTTTGACCTGCAACTGGAAAACCTCCAATACTGACCTTACCTGTGTTGGTGGACAGATCTTCTGGATGCTGGGATCTATGCTTATTATCGTTCTCGGTATGACGGTGGTGCCCACGATGGGCTGGCGTTGGATGATCCGTTTTTCCATCATTCCCAGCATTATACTCATTGGCCTCTTCTTGGTGAGTTGTTGAAATAATATGCAGAAGGAAGATGGTCGTTTTTAACTCACACGCTCACTCTTTTCCTTTGTCTTAGTATATTCCCGAGTCTGCACGGTTCCAGGTCTCAGCAGGTAACATAAAAGGAGCATTGTCTACACTTGATTGGATCGCCAGGATGAATGGCGCCTCCTTACCGGAAGGAGAACTACGGGAACCTGAAGTGGTGTGTGTGAGAAGTTTAAGTTAAGCAATAAGCATAAGTAAATAAAAAAAGCTTGCTATAGTTTATATCAACTGTCAATGATGACGAGAAAGGTAACGGAAAAATAGTGGACGTGAGCATGTACGATTACATCTACATCATTTACAGATACCGAAAAATGTCAATGAAATTTGGTGCAGGTTTTATTTTGTGCATCTCTAATACAGAAATGCTTTGAAAAATATTTAGGGGTATACACTTTATGTGTATATCATATACATCTTTATGTAATATGTGTATGAAATCAATGAAATGAAGCCTGAATTCAAAAATATATAGTTTCAGATAGTAGGTACTTTTGAAATTCTTTTTATGTAAGTGTAAACGCACTGAAGAGTACAACTGACAGAACCGTTTGTATTCAGACAGAAAGAGGAAATGCAATGACTCTGATCAGCCCGACTTATAGAAGAACATCTCTTCTGTTGTGGTACTCATGGTAATGCCTAACACTTTTCCCTTTGGTTTGTTTGTGTGTGCGTGTGTAATCTAATCAGAAAATACACTTTTCAGTTCTTGTGCAGTTTTTGTATACTAAATGTGTGATGTATTGCATTGTTTATCAACAGGTTTGTGGCTTCCTTCATCTATTACGGCTCCGTCCTGAGCAGCTCTGAGTTACTGGAGAAGAACCTTCTGTGTGTGACAGATGCCGACTCAGAGCACCAGATTAAACACAACCACGAGGAGGCGCTGTGTTACTGCATCCCCTTCAACATGGCTGATTACCAGACCCTCCTCATCAGCTGTTTGGGCGAGGTGGCACGTGAGTGACCTTTGACCTCTTACGACTCGCCCCACTTTCACATACTACGCTTAGTTGAATGTTAAAAGCTGATGTATGTGTTTCCTTTGCAGTCATCCCGCTCAATATCGGCTTGTTAAATGTATTCGGACGGAAGGCCAGCATGGCCATACTGCTGGTGTTGTGTGCTGTCTTTTTCATGCTTGTTAATATTTGCACAACAATGTGAGTATATTGTTCTCTAAAATGATTTGAGATTAAAATGAAAACCATAAAAAGCATTTTTGTTCATTGAAATAGCACTTGATAGTATAAATCATTCTGGATAAAAGTATCTATCAAATGCATATATGTAACATAAAATAAATGTTTACTTAATTAAATAAAATATTTAAAAAAACTTAAACTTATTTTATTTCTAATCATTTTATTTTAATTTTCAACAACTCAGGAGGAAATAGATCATATAGTAAGGATGCACTGATATAAAAAAAATTCAAGACAAAACTAATAAGCCGATAATCATTTTCAATAGATGACCGATAATGACAGATATTAAAATTCTAAATAAATTACAGTATGGAATTTTTTAAATGTAAATGTAAAATAAACATTTTCTAATTCATGTAAATATAAAATAAAATAAATGTCAATTTAAAAAATAAAATACTTAAAAACTTATTTATTTACTTGCCAAGGCAACAATTCTATTTTTTGTAAAATAACTCAAACTTTATAAACATTACAAAAACATAACAAATTACTAAAACTTTAACTAAAATGAAAAAGGAAAATATAAATTTAAAAAAGAATAATATATGAATGATACTAAAATAACACTACTTTTCACTGGTCACACTTTACATCACAATGTTTATTATTTATGGTGCATTTCTGTAATTCTAATGAAGTAAGTTCACTTAATGTTGAATTATATTGTGTATCTGCTTGTACTGCTATTATTATTGCTTTAGTAATTCATCAACCATCTGTTTTACACATTCTATAATTTGAACAGTGTACATAAACTATACTGCAGAAAGCAGTATGGCGGTATGCTATTGTGGTTCTCTTGTGGTCATATGTTAGAAGTGCAGCTAAAGTAGATGACTGAATTATGTGTCTGTCCCTGTGCAGGTTTGGTTTCACTGTACTGCTCTTCCTTCTGCGCTCCATGGTTTCCATGAATTTTAATGTGGTCTATATTTACACAGCAGAGGTGAGACCAAACACATGAACACTCCACTTCCTCTTGATATCCTAAAGGAATAATTCACAATTCACTTCCAAAAATGAAAATATTGTCTTCAATTGATTAACCCTCATGTCATTCCAAACCCATAAAACTTTAGTTCATCTTTGAAAAGCGAATGAAAATATTTTTTAAAAAATCCGAAGGATTTCTGTCCCTCTGTTGAAAGTCTATTTACCCAAAATGCTTTATAACTTTCATAAAGAGATTGTAAAATGAATCAAGTGGTGTTATCCAGGTCCACTGAAGAGACAACATCGCTTTATATGATAAACAGATTTAATTTAACATTTTTGGGTTAACGGTCTTTTAGTGGAGGGACAGAAATCTCTCAGATTTGAGAATCAAATTTCAGAATGACATGAGGGTTAGTAATTGTTTACAGAATTTTCATTTCTGTGTGAACTTAACCTTTAAAGGACGAGTTAATTGTATTTAAGTTAAAGCCAAATGATTGGTGTGTGTTTGCAGGTTTATCCCACATCTGTGCGCTCAATCGGAATGGGCTTTTGCACATCCTTCAGTCGAATTGGGGGAATGATCGCACCTTTCATTGCACAGGTGTGTACCTATGTGTTTGACTTGCACGTGTGTGTTCGGCTAAATAAATATGTGTTTTGTGTTTAACGCTGTTGTATTGATGATATCTTGCCAAAGATAACATTGTTTGAATGTGTCTTAGGTGTTGATGTCTAGGTCTGTGATTTTGGCCCTGTCACCGTTCGCCACAGCGTGTGTTATTTGTGCGATAGGAGTGGTCTTTATGCCCATTGAGACCAGAGGACGGGCATTACTGGTAAGCATCTTCACAACTCTCAAAGGAACTTTTTACTGAGATGATTTTGTTTATCTTCCTTACCGTTTAGCAATTTAATCTTTTCCCCTCTATTTCAGCAACATGGCTGAAATAGCCTACACCTCAATGGAGAAGAAGGACATTTGCACTTTTGTTACAAAACATGTTACATAAAACAGTTTTATAATTAATTTTGTTGACTGTGTGTTGTGTTCTTCAAGAATAATAATGGCAAAATCTGTTAAACTCTTTCCTGTGTTAACAAGTAAGTTGGAATAGGACATAAGCCAAACCCATTTGTTATTGCTAGTTACTGATAGGTATTAGGGGGCAATCTCATATTAGTGTGCATTTTATTGGACAACACATTCCATACACTTTTGCAAACAAGATAAATCATGAATATTTTTAGTCTAAATCATATATTTTTAACTCATTCGGAGTAGGCCTACAGTAGCAGAGGGTTTGTTTTGTTTTGGTCATAATTTTTTGTCTTTGCAGAAATATTCTTTGTTTAGTCAGTATTTTGTTAGCCTATCATTTTCATTCAGTCAGATTTACTAAAATGGCATTTTAATCCACTAAAACAAACAAAATTTATCAAAAAAACTTGTTGTGAAAACCTATACCACAACAACCTACGTTCTAATGAGTTGTTATGACAAGCGCGGTTTGTTTTGTCCATCATGACGCCATATGCATTCACAACGAGATTTCCGCATTCTGACCAGCAGCTACGTTTACTTTTGCGCGCTTGTTACAGTTTCGGCTGTCGTGTATCGGTAGAGTTTGGGTGAGTTAACTAACCTACTAGCAGAAAAGCGAGGGAATCTTCTGCATTTTAACATCGTAGGCTACGTTATTTTTCCTCATCATATTCTCTTCAACACAGTATTAACCTTCGTTAATGACCATATTTTCATTTTTAATTTGTTTGAGGGGGTTCCAATCTTTCAGATGGCACGGACCCCCAAAAATGATTTTCTTGGCTCTTTTCTTTTTCTACTCACTGTAGACTAATAGGCTAATCTATTGTTAGGCCTGTATAGCCCTATTCATGTATTTTGTTAAATGTATTATTTAATTAATTAATTAATTAATTAATTAATTTTAATGTAATTTGTATTAATTTACATAAATCCGTTTTAATTTTTAATCTAAATTGTAATCTATTGTAATCTAGGCTATTTAATAGATATCTGTTTTTTTATTTTAATCACATTTTTAATGTATTTACTGTCTTCATCTAATTATTTATTTACATTTATTTTAATATCTGTTATATAATTATAAATATATATGTTTCTCTTGACTTTCCCCCCTATAGGGGTCCCCAGATTGAAAAGCTAAAAAAGTTTTTATTTTTATTTGTTATTATTATTATTATTATTATGAATTTCTATAGGGTCTCAATCCAAAATGCATAACAGCCACTTGAGGGAGACATTACACTATTTTTATGTTCAGCAGAGCTAAAGCTCAAGTAGTCAAAAGTGTTATAGTTTAAGTCTTTCCTCCACCTCTCCTCTCTCCTCTCTCACCCTCCCCTCATCTGCGCTTTGTAATCTCTTTAAGGAGCCTCCGTCCCGGGGTAAATCAGATTAGATCTAGGGCTGCTTTCAATAACACTCCAACACTAACCACCAGCAGATCCACTGCAATAATGAATCTGTACAGTTAACAGGCGCTGGCAGGAATATGCAAATCATCTACAGTGTGTATGTGGCATAGAGATACATGTGTGTCCTGAACGACAATGTTTGTGTTTGTTGCCTGTTTGAACACGCGTGTGTGTGGAGGCGGAGTCAGCATACAGTGCCTGGTAGCTCCTTCCTCTGACCTTGGCTACAGAGAGATGGTGGAGAGAGAAAGAGGCCAGAGTGTGTGTGTGTGTGTGTGTGAAGTGGTGGAGCTAATTCCTGCACTGCAGCTGTGTAGGCTATATGACACCAGAGTGAACAGCTCTAGATCCACTTGGGAACTTGCCAGAGAGAAACACAGCAAGAGAAGAGGAAGGAAAGCATGTCAGCAGCATGTGCAGCGCACAGAGAAACGGCACGGTAAGTATCACTTGCTAGTGTTGAATTGAATGTATTTGTGTGTGTGTCACTCTGCAGTGTTTATGCGTTGTGTAACAGCCTAGATTGATTCAGATGCTCAACTGTGATATGGATATTGCATATGACTGCAGCTGTTGGATGGTCATTCATGTTTACATGGGAACACTTTGACTCTACTGTGTGTATGTACTCAATGATCAGCTGTATAGTTTCATTAATATGTGAATATGCCTTTATAGTTTCACGGTGTAATCAATGTCTGAATGGCTGACTAGTGGAAAAATGGATCGATCCTCTTTCTGCAGCACTCTCTATAATCCTCTGGTCTCAGTCGGCACAGCAGTCAATCACTGAGACATTTGAGAAGAGAGGGAGCGGAATAAGGATATTGATGCAGGTCATTCATTTTTATGATGATGCTCCAGGGTTTCGCCCTCCATTTATGGTGGACATGATAATGCGTAAATTAAATGTCGTCCAATGCAGTGAAATTTCTGTTTTGTGAGTCACACTTGCTGTTCTTCTTATTCTTAGAGAGTTTACTTGAAAGTCTTATGAGTATGTTTATTGCTTAAAGGAATAGTTTAGTTAAAAAATGAAAATTCTGTCATCATTTACTCACCCTCAAGTTGTTTCATACCTGTATGAGTTTTTTTCTTCTGCTAACATAATTTTGAACAATGTCAGTAACAAACAGTTGATGGACCCCATTGACGTATTATTTTTCCTATGGAAGTCAATGGGGTCCATCAACTGTCTGGTTACCGACATTCTTCAAAATGGATTTTGTTTGGGAAAAAGAAATCAAAATGAGGTGGGAGGAAAAAATAGATTTAAAAACTTTTGTATTCCCCTGAAAAACTTTGTTTCTTGGGGAGTGTGATCATTTTGCAAGTGAATGCAAAGTTTTTCTGGGGAATGCAAAAAAGCATTGTCATATAATTTTCACAAAATCACCATGTTCCTTCAGGGGTTCCTTATGATGTGGTTAATGAAGTGTGGGGGAGATTATCAGTGAAAAACAACTGTTTAAAGCTATTATGTGTCATCAGGAGACTTAGAATACAAGTTCATGATCGTTTTATTGTGCTTTTTGTCATTTTGGTAGCTTGGCAGCTTCTGGTCACCATTTAGTTTTCTAAATGATGACAGACTTTTCATTTTTGAGTCAACACAGTCATTAATGTTCATAGTAGAAAGATTAGATTGACAGTCACGTTCTCCCAGCGGGTTGCATGCATCCTATTCTAGATGTATCCTATTCGGTCTCAGAGACAAGACAGATTCATTCTGTCATAATTTAAAAAGACAAGTGAGTGCTAGAGAGAAAGAAAATCATCTAAAAAAAAAGGATTCGGACACCAAAGTCAGTGTCACACTTAAATAGTCTGCTTAGCATTGCATATAATCACGAGGTATCAAATCAGACGTCATCTGCAAACTCATTTAGTGAGTCATTCTTATGTAGGCGCTTAGAGGTTAAACTATTCATCCAGACTGGAGTGCACAGCTGAATAGTAGTGCTGAATGAATTAGGTCAATGCATTCGCTGTAATCTTTTGTAATGTGTGTAATGAAGTGGTTTACTGTCTGTCATATATTGATGACTCCACAGAGTGCTGCAAACCCTGCCCTTTTTACACAACATCCAATCAGAATCAGTGCTGGAGCCACTGCAAACACATTTAAGCTATTTTATACTGTTTATGATAATGTTTTATATATATATATATATATATAAATAAACAAAATATATTATAAATGTGTGTATAGAATAATTTAATCTATTCCCTGATATAATATAAAATATATATTTAAGATATAATCCAATATATAACCATTTAAATTATATCACTATTATTTATTTTATATTTACTCAATGTACTATTTGAGAACAGAAATTTTGCATTATTAATTGACAAAAGGTTTTTTTTTTGAACTGACAAAAATGATGATCATAAAATGTCCAAGTATTAGCTAATTTCAATTCTCTACACTGTAAAAAAAATATTTTCATGATTTGTTATCCCAACATATTTTCTTTTGTCAAATCAATTTTATAATAATTTATTTAGTTGAGATAACTTATTATTTTGAGTTTCTGATGATTAAATCAATCTCCTTCATTGTATGAACTCACTTTTTCCAGATCAATCAACTTAAAATTTTAAGGCAACACAGGTTACTTACTTTTTTAAGTTAAACCAACACATTTTTTTACAGTGTAGTAATCACAACATTTTTTCTTTTGTCAAATCAACTTAAATAACTAATTTAGTTCAGATAACATATAATTTTGAGTTTCTGATGATTAAATCATTTTCCTTCATTGTATTAACTCACTTTTTCCAGTTCAATGAACTTAAAATTTTAAGGCAACCAGGTTTCTTACTTTTTTAAGTTAAACCATCAATATTTTTTTTACAGTGATTATGTTATATTATATCGCTGATTGTTCATTGCACTTATATAATATTTTGTCGGATATTGATCAAGTATTGTGCATGTGTGCAGCACCGGAGGATGAGACATACATTATTACATTTCAATTCAAGTAATTCAATTTCAATATAAATATTTTCCTTGAGCATTTTATTGACATTTGTATGCGCAGTGACAAACTGATTTAAGGAGCTATAATGAGAGACGTGTGTCTGAGTGGAACAGGATGTGCAGATAAATATAGAGAGATAGAAGAATGTGGCAGAAGTTTTGCTGACACATCTGCTTCACAGCCTATCTATGCGAATTGCTTTGAATCTTTTTATCTCCATCATAGACCGATATAGATACAATTCTCTATTCTATGTTACACGTTCATCTCTTCCCCGTCTCTCTATCCAATATCACCCTGCAGCCCTGTAAACAATTTCTCTTTCTCAGATGCCCTGTGTCTGGTGTGTTCTGGAGGTGAGCTGACTCCTGTGTGGGTCTTGAGAAGCAGACATGTGGGACGGACGGTCCGAGACGTGTCACACACACGCCCTGTTCGACGCCTTCGTGCAGGCCGGCACGTGTAGAGAGACCCTCAGGGCCTTCCAGGAGCTGTGTGAAGAGCTGAAGCTGCATCCCGTGGGTCAGCCGCAGTTCTACCACACCCTGAGGAGCAGACTGCACTACTGGAAGGCCAA